GAACGGCGCGGAACCAAACGTACCGAGTAGAAGGAGGAGCTGAAGGAGACTCCGGTGGTGGTGGAGGTGGAGCGAGAGGAGGAGGAGAACGGAACACGAGAGATCGGCAGCACAGTTTCGTGTTCAGCTCAGCTCGGTTCGGCTCAACCTCGTATCGTATCCCCCGTGTTTTTCTAAGGCGAATCGTTGGTCAAATTTCTCTGTCTATCGGGTCCCTCCCCCCTCCCCCTCTCTCTTTCTCGCCTCCGCCCTGCTCGTTTTCGCCGGCCGGCCGAGAAGGGGAGGGTTCCGAGGACCCCTGGAGTGAAAAATCGCGCGGAGACGCGTGGAGATCGTCCATTTATCCGCGAATCGCCCTACCCGTTTGCCTACCGATCAGCCTTCTTAACACGCGGCAAATATCCAGAGTGGTGCGTAGTTCGCAACGTACACGGAGGTGAGTGACAGTTTGTTCGGAAAAGCGAAGGCTGCCCGCCGCGCTGCTTACCCGCAGCTCGAGATCAGTCGCCAGACAGTTACTGCGTGATGTGCGCGCTGTACGAGAAGAGAGAACGCGCGGAAAAGAATATTATTCCACGATTATTGACGTGAGAGAGCGATCAAGTGTCCGGTAACGAACGAATCCCCACGATCCGATCTCTTCGTTATCATCCGTTATATCATCGAGAGGTCGAGGGATAGTGGATCGAACGATGGACGAACGGAACGTGGATAATAGGCTCGCGTCGCGGGATCGGCTTTTCCGGTGGTCGGGTGGCCGAGGTGGAGCCGTGGAGAGAAGTTGCTACGATCACCGACCGTCGAGAAGTGGCCGAGGGGACAGGGACTCGGGGAGTTAAATAGTCGAGAAACACCCTATCCGAAACGTTTCGCCCACTAATCCTAATACCAGACCCTATTCTCGAGTTAATGATAGCTCTTCTTAGACGCAACGCTTAACTTTCGAGCTAAACTGTTGCGCGGTAGCCAACTCGCCATCGGATCCTTCCCTAATGAAGACCTTTTGCGACTTGCCTCGACTCGCCACCGGTGTGTCGGTTAATTAGACCGATTTCGCCCAAAAATATCTTCCTCGCCCGCGAAACGTTCTCGCGAGATGATAACGATTCGACCCGATCAACTGAGTTTTGTCACGGGGGGACTGGAAACGAAAATTGGGGAGAGTGGAAGGAAAACTGTGTTTGTAATCGCACGCCGATCGACGAAGATCGAATCCATTATATCGAACGCGTTTATTCGCCTCGTAAACGCCGTAGTATCATTAATCAGCCTCTCATTCTCCCGGGAATGGTCCACGGTTAATTGCACCTTACGATTCTTTACGATTCTTTACGATTCTTTACGACGCTTTACGATTCTTTATTTTTTAAAAGCTACGACAGGTAAGGCGGAGATTGGACCAACGCGGCCCCGTGTAATTCGCGCCTTTCGAGTAATCGGAGTGGAGAAAATGTGGCCGGTATCCTTTTAACATCGATATCCCCTCAAACTGTTTCGTCAAAGCCGCGCGCGGTTATCTTGCACAAAAAGAATCCACCGGTTGACCGTGACGATCACGCGCGCGCGATATCTCTTTTCCCGTTCTTTTTTAAAAATATATTCGTCGACGAATGCTGGACGAC